ATAAGTTGCTGGCTGCAGTTCACTTAAAGGCCACCAGTGTTGCTATTAACAAGGGTTTCGGAATCCCCTTTAAATTTCAGTCGCTTTTGTCACAAAGTGTTCTTCAGATATCATACGGCACTTTTCTGACGCTTCTTTAGCTTGACAACCTATAGTACATTTATGTTTTTATTGCATGGAAAAGAGCAGCAAAAGTTTTGCTACACTTTCATGGAAGAAAGTCATACAGGTTTGAAATGACATGAGAAGGAGTTTTGATTAAACTATTCTTTTAAAGAACATCCATTCTCACAATGGACTCTCTTTAAAAGAATAGTAAAAGCAAAGGAAATGAAAGCAAATGAAGAATATTGCATAAAGTTAAGAACCAACTTTTTTCCTTATGGTAATGACTACCCTCTCTTCCCAAGAGTGAAGCTTTTCATGATGCAACAATGTAATGTCAGACTGCCGTAACATTTTGTTCTATAATTATTATTATCTCTGAATCGGTGGCTACTGATCTTCATCAGGTTCTCCTACTCAATTCTGTGTGCTGGCGCAATATTTCTGCTCTCTTTCGAAGCTGCCCTTTCATCTGTCGTAGATTTGCTTTCTAGTCGAGTCATTTGTCAAGACAACACCACCAGGCTCATGTGGTGTCCCTTGATTGTTTGTAATAACTGTGAATGAGAGGGAGTCTTATTAGAAGCATACCCAACTGAGAACCTTCCGTCTGTTAGCAAACCTTCCTCAGCCAGATCACTCTGTTCTGTGATGGATTTCAGACAGTACCATCAGCACTGATCATTACTGCTGTCATGCTTCATAATTAGCTGTTGTTTTAGAGATGCTTTATGGAAAAGGCTTCTCTTGTCTCAGTCAAAATCTTTTTATATATTGAATCCCAAGTTGAATGACAACAATGAGACTAGTAATCGCAATAATTATTATATTATATTATATTATATTATATTATATTATATTATATTATATTATATATTAATATAGCTTGAGGTTGGTACATTTTTTTAAAATGTTTTTGAATGTAACTTATGCTCACCAAGACTGCATTCATTTGAAAAACAATATTATTGCGAATTAGTATTACAATTTAAAATAACTATTTAAAATGTACATTTGTTAATGTAAGTTTAATATTTAAAAAAGAACAATTAGAATTTTACAAATAACTGTAGTTAATATTAAATACTTTTATGCAGAATAAGGATGCAAAAAATGGATCAAAAGTGACAGACATTTATAATGTTACAAATGTATATTTAGAAGACATGCTGTTCTTTTGAAAGTACACAAAAATATTAAGCAGCAGAACTCTTAATAAGAACCATTATTAATAACTGAGCACCAATAGTAAATGATAATAATTAAGCACCATGGGAATATATTTCAAATAAAATACATACAAGAAAACAGTTATTTTAAACTGTAATAATGTTTCACAATATTGATGTTTTTACTGTATTTTTCATCAAATCAATGCAGCCTTGGTGACTGGTGAGCATAAGAGATTTATTTAAAAAAAATAATTAATTAAAATCTTCTGAGCAGTAATGATATACAGTATAATGGCACACTTATTACATATGTTATTGTATTTTTAAAATGTGCTTTGGCCAAGGTAAAACTGACCCCAAACAGAAGCAAAGTTTGCAAACGTCTGTCAAGTGGTAAACTTTTTCAAGTAATTTGAAATAAATAATCGGTTAATTTGAAAAATCATAAACCATTGAAGTCATTGGGGGACACCAAAAGCAAAAAGTCGGTCTTAAGAGAAAAGGAGGGATCTCTTCTTGATTCATGTTCACGTCGTTCTCCAGCTTTAGTGCTTGTGTCTCTCCCCAGCAGCAGTTCTTGAGGCAGTATTTATGTCTCTCAGAGGGAGACGTCTCATCGATGTGCACTCAAAGGGCAAACTCTGTTTGTTTTCTTTGCTGTCGTTTTCCCTCCTGTCTGTGTGTTTGTGTTCAGTGCTCCCTGTGCATGCAAGTGTTTGGTAATGTTCAATGTTGTCCTCATTCAAACCCCGTATCTCTCCTCTGTGGGTGCGAGCGTTTTGTTTGTCCCTTGTCTCCTTCTTTCTCCATATCTCTGTTTCCTCTAAGTGCGAACAGACAGACACCACCCAGCGAGGTTAAATGCATGCTGACCCTCTCCATCCCGTTTCAGTGCAAACTTAACGTTATCTGAAGCTCATTGCTTATTTTCCTTTAAAGCGAGGTGGCAGGCCTTCTCTCCTCTCGAACCCCCCCAACCGTAATGCCTGTTTGTAATTTACATTTCCATTTGTTTTAAATTGATTCAGTGATGCTGTCGATTTAAACGCTTCCTGAGGCTGAAATCAGGAGATATCTAGCTAATTGCGTCTCTGTGTCACCTGTGATTACCTTTCACTTATTGAGTGCTCTCTCTCACGACACCCTGCTTTCAGCTGAGAGAGAGAAAAGAGAAACCTGCTGAAAGCATGAAATAAAGAAAAAAAGGTCCTTAGGAGCCCTACACATGGTTTTTCGTCTGCTCACACTAGTAAATATCGTTTTGCAAATCAATAAACTTATTTGTTGCTGTGTTTAATAGGCTCTGCTTACTGATACTGTTTTAAAATGCATGTGTCTTAATTTATGAGACTTAATTCATTTGCAAATTTGTTTTGTGAGCACCGAAGTGCAAATGAATAATGCATCAAGCGAAAAGGCAAACCGTGAGTAAATTATAGGAAGGAAGAAGGGATGTTTTTACCGAAGAATTACAAGTTTAGAAAGCTTGGGGTAGAATCAGCTGTTTGGAACTGAATTAAGAATGCATTTTAATGTCCAATTCATTTCCTGATTTTCAGTTGAACATGAACTGAAGTATTAAACAGGACAAAACATTGCTATTTGAATTTGAAATTATGTAATGAGAATATTAAATAAAGGAAAATAAATTAATATAATTACAACTAGAAACGGAAAGTCATTCAGGAAACACTTCCTGTAATTTTTGCTTGACAAATAAGCTTAATCTAAAACAAATATAAGGTGTTGTCTGAAGGTTATATAATGCTTATAGATAGATTCAGATGTCTAAATTTGACCCATGCAAACAAGTTTCACCTTCCACAGATCATTTGCTTTGGAACTGCCCCAATCCCCTAAAAAAACAAAACGAAACATGGTACCCCTGACATATACATTTTTAAGTCAAGAATTACAAAATAGTTAACATAAGAAAGTAAGATGTCAATGAAATATAGCAAATATCATCCTTGTTTTCCAAGACAGCAATAAAGTTCAAATTGAGATTTTTTTCATAATTGTTCTTCTTGGGAGATTTTTCTGTGCAAAGTCTGCAAATAATAATTAGAAATTTTGATATGAGCTCAAATATTAAATTCTTCAAGACCAAATAACGAGATCTATGTTATCCATATTAATTATACTGTATAGTCTTGCTGTATGTCAATTATTATCTCATTTTTGTCTATTTGTCTTTCTCCTATAAGGAATTATGAACATCTCAGACAACGTTAATACTTAAATGAAAATAATTGAGAACTTTATTAAAAGAAAAAATTATAAATCTGTAAATATTAGATAAATTTGTCATTATTTGCCCACCCTCATGTCATTTCAAACCTGTATGACTTTCATTATTCTTTGGAACATACATGAAGATATTTTGAAAAACACTCTGTTTTACAAAAGTCAATGAGATCCAGTGTGTGACAGAATTGTCATTCTAGGTGAACTATCATTTTAAGTGCTTTGTGTAAAAAATGAAATATTATTAGAGCTAATGCTAAAATGCTATTTCAGTCTTTCTGCTTGAAAAAATGGCATGTTACTTGCTGTTTCTTTGTAACTGTTTGTGAAATTTACTAGCAATTTCTAAATTAAGTTGTTTCATAGTAAATCCTAAAACAATTGTTTTTCAGTGTAGGTATAGGGGATAGGAAATATCATTAGCTTAGAATAAATGCAATAGATGTGAATGGAAAGCCCCCACCGTGTATATATTTTTTTAAAGACTGTACCTCCTCTACATCACACAGATGTATCTGTTTGATCTTCTAGTCCATCTCATGACGGCCATACTCTGATAAACATCACACACATCGCACCAGCCTTCATGTACCAAACACATGATGGTATACTGGCAAACAAATGCATTTGTGTTTAGATTTACTGGTGGTTGTGAATGATAATGAGTCTCTAAAGATCTATTTTATGGGGTGTGACCTCATCCTTGCTGCGTGGATGAGTGAGAGGGAGCTTTTTCTGTTGATATACAGACTGTGAATATACAGACCATCTATCTCGACCAAACAGCCCAGCACAGATTTACCCCGCACTCTCAAATGCTGTTTGAGAGCCTGCGGGCAATGCGTTCAGGGAATATGCCTCATTATTCCTGTATGACTCGGGTCTACAGTCTCTTATTGCTGTGTTTTCTTATCAAAAAACCTTCTGAACCAACACAGCTGGCCTTCATTATAAGAAAGAGTGATGGGAGGGCAAAGTTTTTTTTTACCAATTTCCTGGATGCCATTATTCATATATACCACTGCAGTCAGAGGTGCGTTATTGGGATATTTGATGAAATAATGACCTTCACATCATAAAACTCCTTCAGTAGTACTTTTTTTTCTAGAAATGAGCTAAAGCTGCATCTTGTGTCAAAACACATCATTCTCTCTCATCAGGTACATCCAGAATTTGAACTTTTGATCATTATATGCTCTCCTTCTGCTGCATCATGTCCTGAAATGAGCAATGCAGCCCGAAGCCTGTTTTTCATCTTCATGATTATAAAACTCCTCAAACTCTGACATCAAAATTAAAGAGGAAACTGACACCAAAGTTCTGTCACACAAAACCACAAAACCTAAAGCTTTGTTTAATCTTATATAATGAACAGTTTTATTTAGGGGAGTCTATGCTAATGTCCATGAACTTCAGCTTTGTCCTCAGGGGACCTATATATTTGTTCCTATGGGAACAGCAACCTTTATTTATTTGTGTTCTTTTTAAATAAATAGTATTTCATATTAATATCAGTCTGTTTCTGGTAAATAAGGCAGTTTATATACAGCTATTAGTTACAGAGACAGTAGAACGTCGCTCTCCAGCGAAGGATTCATTATCTTAGCATGCATTCATAAACTACGAGGAAGCATCAACAATATGGCACAATATTTTACAAGCTGTCTCATGAGAACAGTAATATACATCGACCAGACACTATGTGTGCGTTTAGGAGCTCACTGAAAAACGAACGGCAATGTACGTTGGGTCCTCGACAGCAGTTGAACGATGAATGTTCACAGGATTCAGATATTTCAGCAGAAATCCTCTTATTAAGTCATGAACGTGTCAAAACACATGAGAGGCGTGTAACATCAGTAGCATCTTTTAAACTTGGTGAATTTGTGGAAGGCTTGTTTGAAGTCATCATTGAAGACAGTGTAGATGACTGGATTGATGAGTGAGTTGAGGTACCCCAGCCAGGTGAACACATCAAAGAGCACAGGATGAAACCAGCAGTCTTTACAGACCCCCATCACCAGCGTGAACACGAAGAACGGGAGCCAGCACACTATAAACGCACCCAAGATAATCCCAAGAGTTTTGGTGGCCTTCTTCTCCCGAGCGGCACAAAGACGCTTTCTTTCCAGCACGCTATCAGCCAGCTTCACTTTCACACTGTTCGTGAAAAGAGGAGACCCTCCTCCCCCACCTCCACCACCTCCTGCTCCTCCAGGATGAAGTTGTCCCTCCTGATTAGAAGTGGAGTTCAGCGAGCAGAGCGAAGAACCCGCCGAGTTCTGGATGAGCTGAGCAGCGGTGAACCGTTTTCCACTGGTCGCCGGCATTTTGAAGATCCTGGAGCGAGCCGCCACATAGATACGCCCGTAGAGAATCATCAGGAGGACTGTGGGAACATAAAACGCACCGAATGTGGAATAGAGCGTGTAGGAGATCTGGTCGGTGTTGACCATGCACTCCGTGAGCTCCTCGTGGGCCTTCGCCTGCCGCCAGAAGAGAGGAGGCAAGGAGATGGAGACCGAGATCACCCACACTACGGCGATCATCAGCGCCGCTCGCCGCATGGTGCGACGCTTCGAGTATTCCAGAGCATCGGTAATGGCCCAGTATCGGTCAAGCGCGATCACACACAGGTGCAGAATGGAAGCCGTGCAGAACGTTATGTCAGATGACAGCCAGATATCACACACGATCTGACCCAGGGTCCAAGTCTTACTGACCGTGTACACAATGCTGATTGGCATGACTAAAATGGACACTAGGAGGTCTGTCGCTGCGAGAGAGCCAATCAAGAAGTTGGCGGGGGTGTGAAGTTTGCGTGTGAGGAAAATGGTGGCGATCACGAAAGCGTTGGACAGAGCGGTGGCCAAAGTGACGATGGCTAGCATGGCAGAGATGGAGATCTGAAGGCTGAGGAGTGTAGCATCATCCCAGGACTCCAGGGTTGTGGGACTGACTGTGGCATTGATGAGGAAGAACTCATCTGAGCTGTTCACCAGATCCATGTTGCATGGTTCACCAGCACTTCATATCATCTATGCATGATTCTTAGTAAAAAGGATCAATTAATCCATGAAAGCATCTTGGGTAAAAAAGTAATTTAGTTTGTTAGTTGCAGATATTGGTGATGCTTTGCCTTTGTAAAGGTCATGGCTGATAAATGTGAGCAGTAATTCATGGCTAAAGATACTGTGACTGTTTCTAATGTTTTTTTGTGCAGTATGTTGACGTGCACAGAAAGTTAAATGCCACAGAACAAACAAGGAAGCAGTTTTAACCTTTGCGTTTGAATTTGAGTTATAAAAATATTCTTTTAGCCCTTAAATCACTGCTCATTATTTTCTTTATAGTCTCTTATTCTACCATGAGAACTGAAGATCCTTCAATTTCGGCTCTTATGAACTGCTGGAAGACTTTTGAATTTATTCTCCTGTTGGTCTGCAAAGGCTTTGCTGTTTCAGACTAATGGGACAGAATACTCCTTTATTTCCTGTTGATCCACTGATGGTTGCAAATGGTTTATAGAAAGGTGATTTCGCAGTTTCCCAAAACACCACAAGCTGTACAAGTTCTTGCTTTGAGTATTGTCCTTGTGAAGGCGTTAGTCCAGATGAAAGGATTCAATCCAAATAAGATCTGGAAGAGAGAAAAAAAAAGAGAATGAAGAATTGGAAAGTCAGAGAAAACTTTATGATTTTGGTCATTAGTTGGGGTCAACCGATTATTGGCGCCAGCATTAAGCATTTTTATGGTTATCCGTTTCGTCATTTTCAAAACTGGTTTGCCGATAAAATAATTTAAAAACATTTAAACAAAGTGTTTGTCAAAGTCGTTATTATTCTTAATTTTGGCATTAATTTTCATTTTTACACCAGACAAATATATCGGTTCAAAAATATCGGTTGTCGGCTTACTTGATCTGTAATTATCGGTATCGGCATCGGACCTGAAAAACACATATCGTTCGATCCCCTAGTCTTTACATACACAACAGTTAATATTTAAGAAATATAAGTTCTGACTGCTCAAAATTGCTGGAAAACATAATACAGATTGAAGGCCAACATTTTCTCGCAAAGGTGTCTCTAAAAGTGAATTTACTGTTGTATAACGTATAATTAAACTAAATGTACAACTCTATAATATGTTTAAAAATTATATGTATATGTAAAATGTACAATACATAATATTTAAAAAATAATTTCAAAATAAAAATGAAATAATACATATAAAATTATACATGTAAAATTCTAAAATGACCAAACTAGGAAAGAAGAAAGAGCCCTTGTAGATTAGAAATATAAGACAGTGTTGAATGGTCGTGAATCAGAAGATCAATGTACGATTTACTGTTAGCTTTTATTTATTAATTTAAATTAGTGCAGAGTAGTTAGCTAGCAGCTGGAAATAGCTTTTTCAGTTTCCAGAGCTCTTAATCTTCCTACACACTATTTTGCAGCATTACATGAGAAGTACTTGAAAATATTAATAAGCAATATTCAAATTTTTTCTTGCACAAACCAACCCACCATAATAACATCCATTGTGCATGCACAAATCAAGATACTTGCTCACAAATGCAATTCATTATTTTTCTGATACCTTATTATTTTGCCTCCATTTGCATATTTCTTTACCCTTTATGACTCAAGACTCAAGCTTTGATTGATGAGTATCTAGAGTATTATAGAGCCTCGAGGGGAAACCTGTCACCATGGAACTTCCAGAGTTCCTGTGTCTAACTAACAATGTGCCATGACACCTGCAAGCATTCTGGTTCTGGCCTGGTGGAAAAAAGAAACCAAACTGTGCTCACTCTCCTGCCGTCAGGTCAAGCACATCAGTCACATCACCTGCCAGCATCTTTACTAAAACATTAGCAGTTTCCGGTGTGCTGCAGAGCACACTCACATTTCCTTTTCTTCATAGTTAGATACAACACGTGTAGGGATATACATATCTGAATATTTATAGAAAAGTCTATTGCAAATCATAGCAAAACATGACATGTCTCCGTACATGTCAAACTAAGTGAAAAAATAATAATAATTGTGGTGCAATTTATATTCTATGTGATGCTTTTAGTGCCAAGCATTCAGATTTGAAATTGAAATTCTGCAAAGAAAACATGTCCACTGCCCTTCATGTATAAAACATGCCATTTCCGTACTTGTAACTGAAAGCATAAAGGTCATACATCCCAACAGGACCCGACTTTTCTGGTAAATGGTGTTGGTGTACCTAGTAGCCAGGATGAACGCAGAGCATCCCAACAACAAAACTGCAGGTTAACCCAATGCATAGCACAAAAAAAAAAAAATGCACAAAATGACTTAATATTATCAATTTTGATTATGTTGAGCATTTATTTGAAATATAAATCTTTTGTAATATTATAAATGTCTTTAGTGTCACTTTAGGTCAATTTAATGCACCCTTGCTGAATAAAAGTATTAATTTATTTTAAAAAAATCTTACAGATCCCAAACTTTTAATATGATACTCTATACTATAATGTAAAACAATATGAAATGCAGCCAGCATGTGAGCACTGGGCAAAGACTTAAAGATGTGAGTTTCAGATGTTAAAGGGGATTTAAAATCTACAAACTGAAGAACAGAATGTAGTGCTGTTGTTGTGACTTGTATCTCTGTAAAACAGTGTCATCATTAGCATATACTTCATGTGAGACAGCAGGAAACAACAGCGGATTATCTCCACACCAGCAGATCCAACGGGCTGCACGCTAATGAGGCCAACCCGAGGGTATTACCATGCTCCAAATGTTGGCCCAACGTTTTCTCTACTTTTGTTCGGTTCTGTGTAATTGGTGAAAGTCAAAATAACAAAATTAAAAACCCAGATCAATATATCAGGAATGAAGGAGACTTTGAGACTGCCAGGTTAATTTAACAAATGCTCAGACAACACAAAATGTCTTGCCACCTATTCTTGCCAGTACTGACCGAATCCTCACATACACTCAAATGCACATAACATTTTAAAATGCCTTTGTACTTTGTAATTGTCAACTTATATTTGTCAATTGTCCGGTTGGATTTTTGTGTGTTTGACTTGACGGCACAAACAAAAAAGAGGAAATATGCGTAGCACCAAACACGCCTCCAGAATAAAAAGGTAAATGCCTTCAGGTGCATAGATCCAAAAATAAGTCAAAATATAATGAAGATATGCACATATAGACCAAAAGCCTACATCAATCTAAACCTAATGTGCAAAAGTGTGAAGTGCAGCAAAACATTTTGGGTTCAACCCACAGTTTTACAGCACTAAACTTGGCACTTTTTGCACTTTCTATATGCCTTCGGATCTTCGTTCTTGAAAAAAAAAAGTTTTTATACAATAGAAGTCAAAAGGGTCCAATGTTGTTTTGGACCACACTGACTTTCACTGTTTAACAGTTGAATCATTGTTAATATTGTCATTTTCTGCAGAAGAATGTCATACAGCATGAGGGTGAGGAAATTGTGATAATATTTTCAATTTTGGATGAATTGTCCCTTTAATTGTAAAAATAAAGAAAGCAGAGCTTCTGCATTGCATGCACGTACAGTGACAAGCCAACTAAAAGTTAGGTATTAAAATCTACCCATGTGATGCTAATAAAAAGCACAGAATAAATACAGTTATAGCGCTACTTAATGGAGTAAGAGAATTGTTTGTTCTGTGAGTGGAAAATGGTCAGGGATGAGGGTTTATTTTTATTTATTTTTTACACTCAATTTATCTGCCAGTGGTTATAAAATGAAACAGACTGCAGCCCTGGTAACAGAGCAGATCTGGATGTTATTGAATGATGTCAGTCTTGTATGCTTTTGAGATGTGCACCAGTGGAGTGTTTGACTAGCATATTCTTGTATTTCTGTGCGAGTACTTGTATTTCGTGTAACAAATAACTCTAACCTGAACTCAAGCTCTACTGATGGATAACAATCTCTCACACAAAGTTTTCATATCCTGACTCATATCTGAGTCTGGCTGGAGTATAAGTCTTGCTTCCTAGCTCCATCAGTATGTTAAATTTAAGGTTTCCTATATTTATTTATTTTTTTTTTTTTTTTGTGACAGGCGGATGGACTGGGGACCATTTAGTCAATGTGACATATTGCTTCAAACAACTTTTTGTTTCAAACAACTTTTTTCTTAACCTTTTTTTAGAAGGTTTAGGAGTGAAAGCTTTTTTCCAACTTGTTCCAGTTACAGCTGCAGATAGCAAGCCAACATGACTCAAACAACAGCTCATCTCTTGAAAAAGAGCCAATTCATCCACCAATCTGCTGAAAAACAAATGTAACAAAATGTGACAAAAAGTTGAAAATAAATAATTTTATAAAATAAAATGTGTATCAGAAAACAATATATTTATATTTAAATTATATATATATATATATATATATATATATATATATAATAAAAGGGAAAAAGGGGAAAAAGGGAAATAAAAGGAAAGGAAAGGGAGAAAGAGGAAAAAGAAAGAGAAAAGGGTGAGGAGAACAAAAGAAAGGAAGTGGAAGTTAAAATAAAAAGTAAATTGCTCAAATTAAATAAAATATATGTATATATATATAATAATTGTTCATATTTAACAATTATTCATTTAACATTTAAGTTTTCTTTAATCAATAACAATATTACAAATAATTAAACTCCAATAACTGAACTCCATTAAAAATGTGAAGTTGTCATTATCTGATCCTTCCAATTCGTACATATTTTATGAGGTGGCTAATTCGTACAAATTCGAACGACCTCACTCGTACAAATTTGTACACTTTGTGAAAAATCATACGTATTTTACGCGGTGGCAAATTTGCAGGAATTCATAAGAATGACCACCCCTAAACCTACCCCTCACAGAAATCAATCAAAATCTTACAAATTAGGTCGTACTAATCAGTGTTGGGGAAAGTTACTTTTAAAAGTAATGCATTACAATATTGCGTTACGCCATAAAAAAGTAACTAATTACGTTACTTAGTTACTTTTTATGGAAAGTAATGTGTTACGTTACTTTTGCGTTACTTTCACGTTACTTTTTAAATATGAGCAGGGCTTGATTGTTTTTAATATAAGAAGTTCTGTTTATAGCAAATGTAAAAGCCCTTTCACACCAAAAAGTGTAATGAATAAACCTCAGGCTGAAGGAAAAGTAAATTCACGTCTGTACAGTAGAACGCAGGAGAAGAAGGTTCAACACTCTTCAGCAATAAAAAAAAACAATGAAGCACAATTGTTAGTTTATCTAAAGTCATTTTTGCTTATTAGTATGGTTGAACTGGATCATCAAAGGTCAGCAGCATAGACATTGGTTAATAAAATGGGATTAGATACATTTGTGTTATTTAACATTTAATTATTGCAGGTTTGAGTCATATTCTGAGTTTGCATTTCACTGTTTTAATTCATTTTGATGAATACTAAATCCGTTTTTTTTTGTGAGTGGGATGAATTAATGCACATTCACATTTAGTCTAGAACTACAGTAACATCATGTTCACACAGCGCACACAACTCCTCTGCACTTCCGATTTCTCTCAATATGGTGACAGGAGACTTGTCAGTCAATAAATGGGAAAACAAAGTAACTGGTGCTACTTTTTTGAAAAAGTAACTC